AGGGGGGTCCCCGGGCGGCAGGACCGCTGGGTCTGGCTGAGGGGCTTGACAAAGATGAATCCCTGCGTGTCCAGGGAGCCACGGACAGGTCCGGGGGGGAGCCCCGGGCAGGGCGTCCCAGCCTGAGCCCCTGGGGAGCAGTGAGAGCAGTTTGTACAAACCTCAGGTGCTCACCTGGAAGAACAGCCCCCCCAGCACCTCCATCCCTGCCGGCCTTGGCAGGCACAGCTCCTTTGGGCACACAGAGCAATCCTGTGCAGGGAAAGAAAGGCCTGTGGGACAAACCACGGAGGAAATCAGGACTAGGAGGCATTCAGTGTCATCAACATGTAAAACACATGTCACAAAGCAGAGACGTGGCCTGAAACCACCACGAGAGCATCCAGGTCTCACCTGCCACAGCCAGGAAGGAGAATCCAGTGGTACAAGTTCAGTTCAGGGAGCAGTGGGTGATGCAAGAGGCCTGGACAAACCAAACGAGCTTCATTATGGTTTGTAACACGGAGTAGTGGAAGTGTCAGCAGGTTTTAGTATGTATGAGGGGACTTGCTGCTGATCTAGGGAGGGTTTCAGCTGCCTTACAAAGAGTGAGAAGAGTTAATAAAGTTCTTGTGGCTAGGAGTGGAATCCAGATGCCCACATGAGGACACTGGCTCCACGTGAGGTAACTGTGCATCTCCTGTGGCCTCCAGCAGTGGGTTTGGCCCAGGACAGTCCAGTGGATCCCACAGGACCATGCAGATATCTCAGGCACCTTCAGGCTCTCTCACATGGATCAAGGTGCATGTGCTTAGATATCTGAGTACTACTCTAAAAGTCTGATAAAAAGCAATTTTGGTTGCATGAAACACATGCATTTTCTGTAATACCTTCTCAAAAACATTTGAAAAAAGGCTTTGTTCAGACAACAAGTTTAGAGAACTTTTTCCAGGTGTGTTTGGTTCCTCCTTCTGCTCTCCCTCATTTCTCATCTCTGTAAATCTCCTGCTTCTCCTTCCCAGATTTCCATAAACAACCTGGCTCTTCAGTTGTTCACCCTTCTGACTCATTTTTGCTCCCATCAGGAGCTCAGCAGTTCGTTTGGAATGGCCCATCAGAATTACAAAAGGCCTCAGCAGACAAAACTGCCCTACCAACACCTTCCTGATCTGCAAGGTTTATGTTTCCTCTTCGGAAAATGTGGGTTAAAGAGACTGCAGTCCAGGGGTTTAGATGATCCAAGAAGTCTGCTTTGTTTCACTGGGCAAAGACCTGCAGATAAAGTCAGGGCAGTGGGAGGACTCAGTGAGCTGGAGCTCCCAGAGCAGAGCAGCCCCAAGCAGTTCTAGGGTGAGATTTATCCACCAAACATGAGTTCAGAGAGACTTGGGGTTGTTTCTCCCCAAAACTTGCTAGGAAATGGCATCTTCCAAGCAGCACTTTAGCTTACACGTTATCACAACAACTTTCTCTTCAGGACACAGCAGCTGAATGACTGTTCTATGAAACAAGGTGTCAAACTCTCCGGCGGATGGAAGGTGTGAGGCTGGGCCATGGAGGAGGCTGGTTCCTCTGCCTCACATACTGATGTGCATGAGCCTGGCTCCCTGCACACACACCCTGAGCTGGCAGGACTTCATCCCTCCTCATCCTCCTCCTCCGGTTCCCCTGCCCCTCTCAGCCTGCCCAGTCCCCTCCTCCCCGGGCTGCTCCCCCCTCTCCAGCAGCCCCCTG